AACATGTCCAAAAGATGGACTGTGAAAAACTATGCTGTCTTTTGTGGAATGGCTAGTGTTTCTCTCTTACTAGGAAGTTGGAGGATGCAGAGAAGGGATAAAGTGGTAGAAGGAGAAGCTGATGTGTGGGGTCAGTTGTAACCATTCTTGCATGCAACATCAGCATAGAGATACTAATTTTAAAAATACTGAATCACTTGGGAGGCAGAGACAGGCGGATGGATCTCTGTAAGTTCAAGGCCGGGCTGGTCTATAAAGTGAGTTCCAGGACAGCCAGAGCTGTTACACAGAGAAACCCTGTTTTGATAAACCAATCTATATTATATCGAATCACCTTCATGCAGATGGATAAGAATTATTGAGAGAATAAACTAATGACACTCTTTAGTATAATCTGTCCAGGTGGGTTGTGGGAATTTGTAACCTGCTTGGTGTGGTTTAACTTGGTCCCCTGGAAGGCATATGCTAACTAGCTGGAGTTTAGAGTGCACTGTTGTTTTTGTCTGAGGCACAGGAGTTTCTGGCCCTATGGGAAACAGTAGTATTTATATGACCATGATATGTAAGCTTGCCCAGTGTCTTACAGTTAAAGGGAATTACTGGATACCAGAAAATTCATGAGTTGTTATTTTAATGAGGAAGAAATCAGGAAAAGCTTGACACAGTTTTGAAGAACAAAATATGACCCTATTAAAGAGGTTAATTCAATGCTTTCCAAACTGGTTTCTGAATTCGTAGAGTGACTGTGTAAATGCAACTCTTGTTATGTGGTAAACACAACCATCTATATGTGGTTTATTTGGGAAAAAGATTTATTTTTAACTTATTGGGTTTACATATTGATTTTATATTACTGTATTAGCTGTTAAAATTTTAGAATCACCTATTCTTCTATACTATATTTAGAAGTTTGGATGATCTCCCTAGTTTGTTTGATCTACAGGGAGAGACTTTGAAATAATAATGGAAGGTATTAAAAAGGGCCTGTTGTAATATGTCACGAAATCCTGTTGAATTAGTGTCATAATCTCTTTGTGTGAGAATTCTTACTGGTGATTTCTCCTGGTACAGTTACTGTTCTGTATTCTGTTTCCCTATCCTGGGTTTGTCTTGTGAGTTTGTGCAGAATATCTTCTTAATACTGAAGTTTAAGATGGGTCTAGTGGTACAGGATGTAGTCTGTACTCCTTGGGAAACTGGGGCAGCAGTATTGCAGATTCAAGGCCAGCCTGGGCTGCATAGTGAGGTGAAGGACAGTTTCGGCAGCTTGGACTTTGTCTCAAAAGAAAAAGAAAAAACGCCGGGCGGTGGTGGCGCACGCCTTTAATCCCAGCACTCGGGAGGCAGAGCCAGGCGGATCTCTGTGAGTTCGAGGCCAGCCTGGGCTACCAAGTGAGTTCCAGGAAAAGGCACAAAGCTACACAGAGAAACCCTGTGTCGAAAAACCAAAAAAAAAAAAAAAAAAAAAAAAAGAAAAGAAAAAGAAAAAGAGGGCTGGGATTATATAGTTCAAGTGCTTGACGAGTGTGTGCGAGGCCCTAGGTCAGTCTCCAGCCCCAGTTTCAGTCCCCTATTCCCTGTAGTAGTGGGTGCTCTTACAAGGGAAATTTATATGGAATAAACAATCCAGTGAGTTTATATATTATACTTACTAAGTATCCTGAAATATTTGAGGTTAAGAGAAACCAGCTGCTTTCATTTGAAAAGTTAAATTAAAATCTCCTCAGATACTGTTAAGAACACAAAACCCTTGTTACTCATTTTTTTTTCAACTTCAATCGGAAATCTTATGGAATTGTTTTGGAACACATGCCTCCAATCTGCCACCAGATTTTGCAGCAGGAATTTATATAATCATGCCATAGCTCAAACTGTCTCACAATTCACCATATGTTTCAATATTTCCAGTGTTTTCAAACACTCTCTTCTCTTCCCACCCTTTCTGGTTTACATTTCTCAGCTTTGTCCCAGCTCTTACCCTGCAATTTTCATTCTCCTTTCTGATTCACTGATGATCCTGTTGGAGCCTTCTAGTGTAGAATTAGTTCTGTGCTGGTTCTTTTTCTGGACTCTTTTCTACACTGTTAAGCAGTGTTCATCCCTCACTTAGGAACTCTTGATTGCAGGTCTAAGTTCCGCGCTCTAATCTCAGCACGTGTTTTCAGGACGTTGAACTAAAGACCTTACATATGTTAGGCACATTTTCCACCACTGAGCTGTAGCCTGAGCCCTACTGTTTGTCTCTTACCTTTGTTTATTTTTTCTTGTTTTAAAAAATAAAATAACCATTAAGTATTTTTTGAATATTAAATTGTTTTGAAAATTAGATTTATTCATTTATTTATGCATTGCCTGAATGTATGTCTACTGTGTGTGTGTGCTTTATGCCCTTGAAGGTCAGAGGATGGCATTCGATCCTCTGGAACTGAAGTTTGGGATGGTTGTGAACCACCATGTAGGTGTTGTGAATGGCACTTGGGTCTTCCTAACTGCTGAGCCATCTCTCCAGCCTACCTCTGTTTATGTTTATCACATACATTATTGCTATGGTGGTGGCAGTCCTGGTAAAAATTTCCCACTTACAAACTCTTTCTTTCATCTGGTTCAGTGGAAATGTCTATAAGGCAAACCTAAATTAACTAATGTAAACAGCTCTATCCTGTTTTTCTTCTGTACTAAGGATTAAATAGGTCCTCAGGCAGTCTAGGCGAGGCTTTACCACTGAACTACAGCCCCAGCCTTTTATACCAGCAAATAATGCTTTTCTGACTGCCTTCCTCCTAGTCCTATGCTTCCCTCCGATTTCTAGGAGTCAAGGCAGTGCGGTGTGTGGGAGCAGAATAAAAGCTTTGCTGTTGGTCAGCTGTGGGTCATTCTTGTCAATTTCTAGTTCTGTGAGCTTGAACAACTCTCTTAATCTCTTGTGCTTTGTCTCATTATATTTAAACTGAAGTAAGAATGCCTGTTTCACAGCACTGGGGAGGTAGAGGCAGGGTATCAGTAATTCAAGGTAGTCCTTAGCTATGTAGTCAGTATGAGGCCTGCCTGGCCTATAAGACCTTGTCATGGACAGAGCAACAGTAACAACAACAAAATAGAACTCCTGTGTCACAGAGTTGTGCCAGAGTGCAAATGCAGTGTATTGGTGCACAGAAGACATATGATACATGTTAAAAATTAGTCACTATCTATTTTAGGTTACTGGGTCGCCATTCTGGTGTTCTTTATCCCTCCTGAAGTTTGTTTATAGGAAGGTCAGTCTTGAGGGTTTCAAGTGAGACTAGAGTGAGAGGAAGCAAGAGTCTAGGCACGATTTATCTTCTTTGAAGGATTTGACCTTAACTAAAGAAATTTTTACTTTTTGTTTTGTTACCCTGGGAATCCAATCTAAGGATTGTGTATGCCAGACAAATGGTCTACCACTGAGCTACCTACTTGGCCCACTGAAGTGTTTCTAAGACTGTTGATAACAGCAGATTCATCTATTGATACCAAAAAATGTGGTCTTTTTTTATTAAAAAATTAAATAAATAACATGTTGAAATTGGTTAGCAGATTCTCATCTGTGCTCTAGTGCTGTTAGTAACCTGACAGATTATTAAAGTCTTATCATTACTATTTAAACATTGTTTTTGAAATTCTACAGTTTATCTAAGCTCTAATTTGTACTTATATAGTTTGACAGGGGTACATATATCAAGGTTGTTCATTAATTTGATCTGAATAGTACTACTGTAAGAGTTCTGGGAATTCTCTTTGGACCATTCTGAAGTCGCCATCTTTTAGATTCTTTTACCCAGTGTTCTCATTATTATGCAGAAATGAGAAATTCAGACTGTTCGCTTTATCTTGACCTTTATTATAAACCTGAACTATAGCAACAATAGACATTAAAAATGAAATAATTCTGTATAATCTCATCACTGCCTTCGTCTGCGCTTTTGTTCATTTCTATTTACTTATCTTATAGTCATCTCTGCATATGCTATAGATAGATGCAGTTATAGTGCAGGGTGATTTTACATCTTGCTTAGTATTCTGTTATCTATGCACATTACTAGGTTTTTTCTTGAGACAGGGTCAAAGTCTGTTTCTAAGAGATGAGATTGTAAGTGTGTCACCATTGTGTCTGACTTTATAATTTTTGCTTTACTTAATAGGATATAGATCTGATACAGATTCATTAAGACATTTTCTCAGTCATTTACTTCAGTGTCTATCACTTGACAGGCATTTTCATTGAAATGGGTTCCCATACACTCTGAATTCTATTTTAATTGAATAATTAAAGTAATTGATTAAATATTTTTTGAGTCAGAGTCTTGCTGTACTGCCCATACTTGCAGTATTCCTTCTGCCTCTGCTTTTTGAGAGCTGTGATTACAGGCATGGACCATTTTAATTTCTGCATTTACTTTTTTAGTGTGTGGCATTCTTCTATGTGTATGGAGGTCAAAGGGGAACTCATGGGATTTGTCTTTCTCTTTCTACCATGTGGGTCCTGAGATCAAACTCGGGTCACTAAGCTCAGTGGCACATGTCCTGCCGAATTGGGCCAGACCCCATTCTAACTCTTTTTTTTTTTTTTTTTTTTTTCCTGTTGTTCGTTTTTTGTTTTTTTGAAACAGGGTTTCTCTGTGTAACAGCTCTGGTTGTTCTGGAACTTACTTTGTAGACCAGTCTTGCCTTGAACTCAGAGATCTGCTTGCCTCTGCCTCCTGAGTGCTGGGATTAAAGGCGTGCACCACCACCGTCCGACTTTAAATATGTTTTTAACTAGAGTTACATCACTTTTTGCCCTCCCTTTTCCTCATCCAGCCCTCCCAGTTACCCTTCCTTGTGCCCCTCCGTGTTCCCCTTCAAATCGATAGTCTTTCTTTTCTTTGATTGTTATTTTTACACACATACACACACACACACACACACACACACACACACACACACACACACACACACACACCTAAGGGCTTGCACGAAGAGATAGAAATACAACCGGCTGAGACGGTTTTTGTTGTTTGTATGCGTGTGGTTTCAGGGTAACCACTTTGCATTGGACAACAAATAAGGGGGCTCATCTCTAGGAGAGGCTAATTATCATTTTCCCAGAAGTCATTGGCTGCCTTTGGTTGTCCAGGATGGACGGCCGCCCCCACCCCATGTCCACTGATCCTGGCCTTGTTCCGGCCTTGTTTATGCAGCCATTCCTAGAGCCGTTCTCAGGCTTCCCACCTCTTCTGCCGCAGATCCAGGAGACCCGTCGGGGCCGGGCTCCCCATACTCTGCTGATCTCGGTCTGCATTGTGTCCACTTGTGATTTGCTGGAAAGAGGCTTCTTTGATGAGGGGTGGGAGCTGCACTTACCTGTGGTATACAAATAGGATTTAGAGTGAAGTAATTATGCTGGTCTAGCAAAGTGGCGGCGGTGGATTCCTTTCTAAGGCCCATGACCTCACCGGCCCCAGGAAGTTGACTGGCTGTCTATACCAGGCATGGTTTCTGTCCTGTTGAGTAAACGGCTGTTGGCTGCCACTGCCATGTGAGTACCACTTACTGCACCTTTGTGCCTGCTTTCCCTGCGGGTTCAAAGGTGCTGCAGCTAGGCAGAACTGTTGAACTGCCCTCCTCCCTCGGCAGCTGGCAGAGTATTTTCTGGAGCTATGGGAGCCAAGTTGCAGGAAAGATTTTTATTGTTTTTTGTACTTATAAGGGCAATGTGGTTTTTTTTCTCTATTTCAGTTATTTCTTTGGTTTCTTCTTTAACTCTTAAGTAGCATCAACTATTTTCCTAAATGAATATAGTTTTTTTCTTAAAGAGAAATCTGTAATATCATATGTTAAAGTATTTTTCCTCCATTCTGCTGTATTGGCTTCTCCCGTGCCTTTGGCTTGGGACCTTATGCATATTAATTAAATAAAGCATTCCATTACTGTTCCATATTCCTAGTGCTGATATGGTTTTCCTGTAAATTATTTTCAATAGAATTTAATTGGTTTTTATGGGATTCCTGACAATCTTAAGATGTGGGCTTACTAGATCTGAATAATATTAACATTTTGAGTAAGAGTTTATTGCATCTACTTAGTAGAAAGCTTAATATGAATTGGGTTGATATTAAGATTAATTTCAGCTGTTTTTTTCTTGGGTTCATAAGGAGCAGAGTGATTTCATGATTAGAAAAAAATCCTCTTGAGGCATGGTGGTGCACACCTTTAATCCCACTTGGATGATCTCTGAGTTTGAGACCAGTCTGCTTTACATAGGGAGCTCCAGGACAGCCAGACACAGGACAGACACAGAGACCCTGTTTAAAAAAAAAAAATCTCTGAAGATACAGTCATCACAACATAAAATAGTTGTGATTCTTGGTCTCTTAGTGACAGTATCATATCAATAGTGCAGTGTTTATTTATATGTCCTAGAGTGATAATAAAGAGGTCTAGGCTAAGGTAAAGCTGTGAACTTGGTGGCATTTATAGTCTTCCTAATTTTTCCAGTTAATACTTTTAGTGTTTGTGGATGATATTTTCCTTTGAGCATCTACTTTTTTCCTACTCTTTGATCTCACCATAGCCTTTAGCATATGTGAAAAGCAATAATCAACTATGTATTCCAAATGGCAAATAATAAAATGACACCGACTTTTTAACGAAGTTATGACCTTGAGCAGATTCCCTGGAGGCAAACTGTCAATTATTATTATTTTTAAAGATTTATTTATTTATTTATTTATTTATTATGTATACAATGTTCTGCCTGCACACCAGAAGAGGGCACCAGATCTCATTACAGATGGTTGCAAGCCACCATGTGGTTGCTGGGAATTGAACTCAGGTCCTCTGAAAGAGCAGCCAGTGCTCTTAACCTCTGAGCCATCTCTCCAGCCCCAAACTGTCAATTATTGACAGCATTTCATAAAGAATGAAGGTGATAATTGTATGCAATTACTGTGTTAGTCTTCTTGAGCTCAGTGTAGTGTCTGATAGGTCTAGGCACTCAGTGAAGAGCACTGAAGGAATTAAACACAACTTGCTTGAAGGATTTTAAGACATTGATATTAGAAAGAAAGGAATATAAGGAACGGAATTTTTAGAATTATATTAAAATACTTTAATAGCTGATCCCAATATAAACCAGAATCAGTCATTGTTGTGTGTGTCTGGGGAGTGGGTGTGGGGTATGAAAAGGGAGAGAAGTGGGAAGTACACACGGGATAGTGTGCTCTTCACCTCAGAGAGGAAAGCACAGCTGTCCTCCGTCTTTCCAATTCATTTAACTCGCAGATTCCACTTCCTTTTATTGCCTGTTAGTTCGCCGGGGACGGTAAGATTGACTTACACTTCTCCTGAGGAAGAAATAAGTTGTTGGACAAGGAAGTATGTGGGAATGAAAGTGTATAGGACAGTCTTGTTCAAGGATTAGGAGGTGTGTGTGTGTGTGTGTGTGTGTGTGTGTGTGTGTGTGTGTTAGTTAGGGAGGGAAGGAGAGGGAGACAGATAGACAGACACACACACAGTTAGCATTGTACGTTTGTGACTTAGTTATTTTCCTTATATTTGTCTTGAGGCTAAAAGCAGATAAATTGAGAATGGAACAGTAGGTAGGGACTAGATTGGGCAGAGAGATTTATTTGGCATAGCACAGAGTTTGATCTTGTTCTAACTATAATGGCGATGTAAGAAGAGCAGATGGAGGAATGGTATGTGGGGAAGTAGTGATGGGCAGTGTCTGGATGGAAGCAGGAGAGGAACAGAACTCAAACAGTAGTGCACTTTTGAATGAATGTGACATTTGGTTTGTGCTCCCAAGGAAGTAGATGTTTTTTAAAACTTCAGATGAGTTAATATATCTTGACATTATCTTATTGCTATTTTGTAAAGTATTTATTAGGCTTATCGTTTTGCTTGTATGTTGGTGCTATACAGTTGAAATTATATAAGAAATAGAATCTAAAGAAAGATATACAAGTGGTGCATGGTGCACATATCTGTAATTTTAGCAGTCAGGAGGAGAGGCAGGAGAAGTGCTGTAAGTTCAAAGCCATCTAGGTCCATAGAGTGAGTTGTAGGCTACCGATATACTATATATTGAGACCAAGTCCCAAAAAAGCGAAACAGAACAAAGCAAGCCACCCACCCAACCACTTAACCACCAAAAATCCACACACAAATAAAAACAAGAATCTAAACCAACTAAACTATACAACAAAACAAAACATAAAAAGAAAGGTTCACATTTTAATTTTTATCTCAATTAAATTTTACTTACCTTTAATATTTGGCACTAAGATGATTTTTTAACTCAAGTGTGTATTGTATTTATGAAAAAATTTCTAGGTAGTAACAATTATGATAAAATGAGATTTTATTTTAAGAAAGAATTTCTGAGGAAATTCTTGCTTTTTGTGATTGAACTTCTGATTATTTAAACTTAGGATGGTCAGATTTCTTTTGCTTTGGGTGTCATTGAAATGACATAAATATTAAGGCAAGAATAAAGAAAATAAAGAGTCTATACGGAGGTTGAGGGGATGTCAGAGAAGCACAAGAAGCACAAGAATTACAACTAGAAAAGGAAATTCCGTGCCTCTGAAGTTGTGTAATTCAGAATACGAAACCCTGTGAAAAAGAATATAAAAACTGTACTAAATATTATGACTGAAGCAAGTTTAACATGGAAAATTAATTAGCATGAGTGTTAATTATCTGTTTGTTTTCTGGAAAGACCAGTGACCACACGAAACCATCAGGGCTAGGCTGGGAGGGGAGGAGAGGAAATAGATGTCAAAGCAGTGGGTGTAAATGCTGGGATGCGGAGGCTGTGTACGACTGCTGTCACCTGGAGCTGCAGTCTACTGGTTTAGAAAGCCGGTAGTCACGGGGATGACTCACCTCAGATGGACATTCAGTCATGTATGACCCACCTCAGAAGGTGCTGGAGCCTATATCCACCCATTGCTACCTCAGACACACTGACTGGTGATCTTAGTAACTGTTTCTCTGGAGACATTTTGGCTGTCATCCGGGGCAGATGAGCTAGTGGCAAGTGGTGGGTGGAGCCTGAGAATGATTGAACACATGGACAGCTCCACAGCAAAGAAGACGAGCTGAGAATGTCAGCAGAGCTGAGGCTGAGAGACAAGAGTCTAGATGCATCTGCTTGTTAAATCAAGATGTTCACATTAGCGTTTGTTGACTAGGATATTTTATAAGTGTTCATGTTGAAAGAAGATGCACTCCCAGGAAACTGAAAAAGTAGTAGAGAGCAGTCTTGAGCCCCTCTTCACACCCCTCCCCACAGTAATTGTCCACGTGACTTCTGTGCAATGTCATAGTCACAAATGTGGTTGTGGGATCACCTGTGGGTCTTGTCCAGGTATGTGGTAGTAGACTGGTGTGGCTATTGTCACTGGAGCTGTGGCCCATGAGCAGTTTTCTCCCGAGTTTCCTGAATATCACCATTGTCCCTGCAGGAGCCAGGGACAGAAAGAAAGTACAGTTTCTTCTGCCATCCAGTTTTCCTCAGTGCTTCTTTCCCAGTAGCAGGATGTAATTAGACACGAGGTACCAAGGGAATGTCTTAGAGATGCAGGCAACAGGTTTCAAGCCTTCTGAGGAGGGAATGGGTGGGTAGGAGTAGAGTTGACAACCCACAAAGGGAGCACAGGAAGCAGCTATCAGGTAGGATTTGGTCACATGGTAGAAATAAAGAAAATTTGGTCAGTTTTCTGAATGGAAAGACAGAACTTTTGTTATTTTGATTTCTTCAAAGGAACTGCTAAAAAATATATGGGCTAATAGAAAAACTTTGAAAGTGAAAGAATTCTCTACTGAAGTATCAGAGTGTTTAGTTTCAAGAAATGGAAATTGACCTTTTAGCCAGGCCTGTAATTGCAGCAATTGGAGCTGAGGTAAGAGGCCTGCTAAGAGTTTTAGGGTAGTCTAGACTACAAAGTGAGACACTATCTCAAAATAAAACAAACAAACAAACAAACAAACAAAAGGAAGGTTTTAGTTAGTGTTTCTATTACTGTGAAGAGACTGGGGCAACTCTTGTAAAGGAAAACATTTAATTGGGGCAGGCTTACAGTTTCAGAGGTTTAGTCCATTATCATCATGGCAGGACACAGTGGTAAGCAGGCAGACATGGTGCTGGAGAAGGAACTGAGAGGTCTGCATCTTGATCTGTAGGCAGCAGAAGGAAACTGTGTCACAGTGGGCATAGCTTGAGCATGTAAGACCCCAGAGCCCACCTCCACAGTGACACTCTTGCTCCAGCAAGGCCATACCTCCTAATAGTGCCATTCCCTATGAGCTAAGCATTCAAACACATGAGTCTGTCGGGGCCATTCTCTAGTCAAACTACCACAATGACATTGCTTAACATCAAGTACAAAATATATTTGTTATAAGTTCATTAGATCTCAGAAAAGTTGAATAACTATGCCTTGAAAAGAGACAAATGAAAGGATCATCTCTGAATAGCTAGTTTGTAAAATTCAGAGGCGGCCTCTTGAGAGTGCTGCCTCTTAACGTGTGTTGACCAGCTCCAGCATCCGCTGCTTCCGGTTCGTGTTATCGGAGATAGATTGTCTGCTCTAGTTTGGGTTAGTTGCTCACCCTTGGACAGAGAAAATCTGGACAATTGGAGAGAAAACTACAATGTTATTGTACTTAATAACTAAATACTAAATATACCATTGCATTTAATAATCAAGTACTAGCTTCTCAAAGAAAACTTGAACTATAAAAGAATGATTACTAGGCAAGCCAAAAAACAAGCAAACAAACAAAAAAACTACAGGTTATTTTTTATTCAGGGCTCTTTTAGACTAGCAGTAGGTAGCTCAAAATTATGGCCCAAAGTGCTTGTGCACTTGATATGTAATTGACACTCTGATCTCTTTTACTAGTACTTTTGAGGAAGTTGTCATTATTCTCCTCATTTTACAGATGGAGGAAGTTGTCATTATTATCCTCATTTTACAGATGAGCAAAGTTGAGAGGTGCACTTCTGATGATGGTGGATTAGGCAATTTGGACTAACCCTCTACAGAGAGCAACTAGACAAACTGGATCAAATATAAAATTCATCTGTTTGAGAGTATCAGAGAGCTAACACAGCAGTGACGACTATGGGGACAAGACCCCGGAGAAGAAGGAAACCCAAAAGGTGAGCTGGGATTTCAGGCTTCTTTCCCCTATGGGAATGTGTTTCCAGTAAAGGTGGCCAAGAGCCTGAGAAATTCAGAAGAGCTTTTGACATAATAAGGAATTTGATCTAATACAGCTAGTTTGGAGTAGGATTTACTGACATGAAGACTGTTTAATCCCCAAGGTTTGGGCTGGGACCTTGAGGTCTACTCTTTAGTGGTGAGGATGAATCAGAAAGAGAATGGTCTAATGCCATCTAATGTCCATGGTGTGGTGTACATCTGTAACTGCAGCACTTGGGAGGTAAAAGCAGGGGGATCAGGAGCTCAGCATCACCCTATGAGTTCAAAGCCAGGCTGGCTTACATGAGACCCAATTTTAACAAAAGTCTACTTATACAACAGAGCTGAACTCTAATCTTGATTAGATTATAGATGTCCAGGATTGTTAATGAATCTACTCACTAGTCAAAGCAGGATCAGTCTTTGCTGGCAGAAAGTATCATGCATAGTCTCAAAAATTTCTACCATTTATATATATATACATATATATATGTATATATATATATGTGTGTATATATATATATATACATATACATATATATATCAATGCCTGAGAGATGGCTTAGTGGTAAAGATCATTGGCTGAGGATCGGGGCTTATTTTCCAGCACCACATGGTGACTTACAACCATCTCTAACTCTAGTTTGACAGAATCTGACACCCTCTTATGGACTCTGTGAGCACCAGACACACAAGGTGCACAGACATACATGCAGGTAAAACATTCATACACATAAAACAAATAAAATTCATACACATAAAACAAATAAAATCTAAAAAAATTATTAAAAATATATTATGTCTACAAATATAAAAATAAACATCTAGGAGACAAGATCATAAAACTGAAACTAAGGGACAACATAACACAAGATTCTGGTGATGGAGTTCTTAGGCACTGACTTAGAAAATAAATATGTTTAAATTAGCAAAATACAAGAATGAGGATTTTGGCAGGGAACTAACTGGATATGATAAAGAAAAATATATGGAAATGGAAAACAGCAGTATGAAGTCAAGAACTCACTGAATGAATTTTATAATGTTTTAGGTAACAGAAAAATGGTTAACTGCAAGGTTAGGGGGAAATATGTCTAGTAAAACACGGAAATATAATATGAGGGAGGAAAAAGGAGAAAGCTAAAATAAGAGACAGCACACGCAGCTGGGATTTCAGGAGGAGCAGAAAGCCCAAGACAAACTCAGTTTGAAGAGATCATGGCTGAGATATCCCCACACGGATGAACACTGAGACAGTGATTGGCCAAGTTTTACAAACTCAGGAAAGCTAGGCACAAGGAAAACCTTAAGTAGGCTGTTCTTAATAAATGCAACCCCCCTTCCGCCACACACAAATTTTAAACTTCCAGAGCAGAAAAACACCAACTTTCAAAGTGTCTCCCATAAAATCTACATCGATTCTCAACAGAAAAATGGGAGTGTAAGCCTGGAATGATGTCTTCAAAGTAATGAGGGAAAAGGAAAAATAATCTTTAAAAAAAGAGATGGGTCTTGTGTTACTCAAGCTGCCCCAACTACTGGGCTCCAGGGACCTGCTTGCTGTTCTAGCAGTGTGTGTCTATGGCACTGCACCCAGCTTGAAGAAAAACAGAAAATAACCGAACTTAATGTTCTGTAAAAACATCCCCTCAAATGAAGGCAAATTAAAGGACATTTCAGAAATACCATAGCTGAAATATGTCACAGCTTCCCACATAAGGAAATACTAGGGAAAATGGTCTTAGGCGGAAGGCCAGAAATCAATAAAAAAAGTTGAAAAAAATGGAAATTTAAATTGACAATGTAAACAAGTATGATGATATTGGGGTAAATGTATCAACACTGCACCCATACAATAAGACAGGTAAATGAGTTAAGTGGTTTAAATTATGTTGTCAGGAAGAAGTTAACTTATATGCTAGTTTAGTAAATCAATACACAGGGTAATTGGTGAGTTTATTTAAAATGACAGTAGCAGGGTGTGCAGCTTTCAGACTAATGCATAGGTAAACCAGAAAGTACAGTCAATTGAATACGAGAAGGAAGGGGACGGATAGGCGCGGGCATCTGTGGACAGTGGTGAAACAGTTTTGAACTAGATTTGTTAGTGAATTCAGTGTGTGTTTCCCGGCACGGTGCTGCTGCTGCACCCCTGTAGTCTGCCCTTGGATGATGAGGTAGGATGATTTACCTGTGAACTCTAGGCCGACTCAAGATCTCAAAATCAAATAATCAAACAAATGTAAATACATTGTTATAAATTATTGATAGACTGGATAAAACTCTGACTCTACTAATCTGCTATGTATAAGAAATGTGTTTAAAGCCTCATATAGATATTGAAAATATAAGAATATGGAAAGGTTAAAAAAATAAAATGATGTTAAAATAACTTTGTAGGAATTAACAAAAATAATTTATTTTATAACACTGTCATAACTTTTATGCTAAGAATTGAGATTATTAGAAAGAAAAGTTTATAGACAAAATTTTATTCAAGAATATAAATGTAAATATTAGAAAGGCAGGAATTAGTAGCAAATAACAAGAGATTAAAAATATTAGAGAACACAAATTTATATATTCCCAAGAGCTATAAGTTAGTTAAATGTTTGAAAATCAGTGTAATTGACAACATTAACAGAATAAAGGCAGAGAAAACTGTGGTATTATCATTACATACAGGGAATGGGCTGGGTAAATCTATTAGGCATTTGATTAAAAAAAAACCTCAGTGAAGTAGAAATTGACAGAAATACAGTTGTATACAAAGTAATACAAGAATATTCTAGTGTCAGTGATTTCATTGAGTATTCACCAGTTACAGAAAGGTCAGAGGAGAAATACATCAGTTAGAGTTGAGAAAAACAATACAGCTTTCATTAACACATGTTGGTATGCAGTGAATTAAAAAAAACACAGATACACTTTAAAGTTAAGAATTTTATCACGGCTTCATGATATAGTCAATAGTTATGAAAAGAATGTATTTCTATATTAAAAACAACATTTGAGGGGCTTGAGAGATGGCTCAGAGGTTAAGAGCACGTGCTACTTTTCCGGAGAACTCGAATTTGGTCCAGTACCCACATCAGACCTCTCACAACTGTCTGTAACCCCAGCTCTAGGGGATCTGTTGCCTGTGGCCTCCATGGGCACCAAAACTTAGGTATACATCCCAAATGCAGGCACATACCCCTGCATATCACTTAAAACACTGAGATAAATCTTAAACAAACAAACAAATCCCACCCGGAACTAATGAGTTTAGCATATGTGATTTACATCAAAAGAGTAGAAAGAAATCTAAGTAAAGGTTTATAATCTTTCAACACCCAAATTATGATACTTTATTTAGAGAAATTCGAGATTAGTAATGTTGGTAGATTGGAGTCTCCATGCTATTAAAATGTGAATTCTCCTCAAATTCAATTTTAACTTGTTGAAAATTTTAGCAAAATGTAGCAAATGTAAACAAAAAACATTTACTTTAAATGACAGACTGATTCTAAAATTTATATGGAAATGCAAAGACCCCAAAATAGTCAGACACTCTTTTAGAGGAGCAGAGAAAGAAATTGACCATAAAGGAAGTGATTGATGAATTATATTACAATGGAAAGAGTTTTATTTAGATATCTTTGATTCCAGACTTGGGGATATGTGCCTGTAATCCCAGGATGTCAGAGGCTGATGTCAGATGGTTGCTTGAGACCAGGAGCTTGAGACCAGAATGAACAACATAGCAATGCTATTTCAAAGTCAATTACCAAGATACTTTTAGAAATGTACAAAATAAGTTTGAGAACAGGAGATATTTGAGAATTTGGGTAAAAGTCAAAATTTAATTGGAAAAACTGTACTTATACTAGCTTTTAAATATAAATATAATAGGCATTGGTTATTTTCTCTAATGAGTTTTTTTTTAAACTTTTTAGTACAGTTGTTCAAGTAGGATCTTTTAAAATTCATTTTTGCCTATAAAGGATTTGATTTATTTAAGTCTATTAAGTAATAGCATATAACCCAAAAGGGACTGTGTTCTCTGTCTTTTACTTACTCTATGGCTGCCGATTGATTTGTGTCTCTCCTTTTAAGAATTCGCTGTGCTCAGGATATTTGACCCTTTTATTTTATCACGTAGTTTGAAATCATTATTGTTGGGTAGGTAAATGAATAAATGCATGCTATTTATTGACATATTACTATTAGTGGCAATCTATAGAAACACGGTTATCACAGTCCAGAAATTCTTTGATGTTTCTAGTTAGGCAAGCTCAATTTATTCAAATACTGAGTTAGTTGGTTTTCAGAAAATACAGAGTTTGAAGCCTCCATTGAGACTGTACGATGGTAAAGGAGAATGAAAGTGGGTGCTGTGTAGGATCAGGTCATTTCCCTCCCATATCGTCACTCAGTTCTGTACAGCCTAATGTTCATGCCAGCCTCTATTTTCTCTGTGATGCTTTCTTACCGTTACTTAGAGGATTACCGAAACTTTACCTACCTTTTATATATAGTATCAGTGATTTCATATTTTATGTGATTAATGAGCTAAGAACACTAAGAAGAGTTTCAATAGCATACATTCCAATATCACTGTTTTATGTTATGACTTTACATTTGTATCTGCTATAGAAGACATACTTAGTATCATTTAAAATCAGTTAAAAACTTGAGGGAAAAATATCATACTTTAGACAGAATGGTCACTTGATGCTGGTTGACATTTTTAGATTCAGGCCAACAGTCCAGAGTTTTGGA